ATGGTTGCAGGTGGCTCAGGACCGTGCATTGTGGCATTCCTTGTAGGAGGCCTATTTTCAGCAGCGGACTTGTGAAAGACTGTAATGATGATGGTGATACTACATACGACTATCATAACATGTGTCATCAATACTAGATGACAATAACTACCATATCATACGTGGTAGAGCCATACTCTCAGCTATATTAGTAATACTAGCTGTGCCCCGCGGTTTCACCCGCGTTTTTCTCGTTTCCGTGGAAATACCGAGATAAAATATTGCCTATATTATAGCCTCCCTCAATAAATGGACTATTGAATATTTAAACAGTATTCATATCAGATCAGTATTTCCCGAGATTACCGCGTTCATAACAAACAACCAAACTTTTCAGCTTTATAATATTAAGAAAAATATAGATTAAGTTAAATTGTATAAGTCGCAGGCAATAGCTGTCGACATTCAGCCAGACACATAAGAATTACGATTACAGGCGGGAGTGTCCGTCAACTTTAAACCAAGTTAAAATATTATTTTAAAGTACTTCTGAGTAAATTATATTTTTCGTTTTATTTTCTTGTGGCAGAAGAATATATTGATTGTTTCCGCAACCTGATCTTGACAACGCGACATATAGTTGGCCGTGCGAAAAACAGTCTTGTCGTAAATCTAATCCTACATATTTAAATGTTTGCCCCTGTGATTTATTTATCGTTACAGCAAAAGATAATTTAATTGGGAATTGGACTCTTTTAAAATGAAAAGGCAAATCATTTGGAATAATTGGGATCCGAGGTACTGTTTGACCAACCGCTGGACCAGTCAAAACTGTTGCAACGATCACGTTATTGCGAAGAAATTTAACCTGAAGTCGAGTCCCGTTACATAAATTTGGTGGCTTAAGATTTCTAAGTAAAATAATTAACCTTTGTCTTCATCTATTAAAAGAACAGCTACTTCATCTACCATGGGCGCGTTATATCGACCTCGATGTTCATTAGGAGGTTTCACATCAGCATGAATGATAAGTTTAAAATCATTAGTTGGTCTGTTTTCGAGATTATATTTAAAACTTTGTATATAAGTATTGTGATCGTGAAGATATGTTTGGAGAGCGTCGATAAGATCGGTTTTTAACGTTGGCTTTAAATTTGAGCGTAAAGATACCTGATCTGTATGGGAAATAAAATATATTTGCAAAAATTCGGGCTGTGCGCCTTCAGGTGGAAGTAAATTACCGTAAGATACCGAGATGGTAAACTTGCCCCTGGACTTTAAAAGTGGGCATAAAGTTTCCTTCACGAATTTCTTTGGCACCAAATGAAGTCATCTCAAACAGAGTATTATATTGTCTAGAGTGATTTAAGAAATGCTTAGATGATGGATGTGAGCCTGATATTAGATCTTTAAGAATTGATGTTGGTGCTGGAATTTTAGGAATATTTACTTTGTCACCACTACAACACAGTCCAGGAGCTTCAGCCGGCCATTTTTTTGCTTGACACGAATTACATATTTTACTCATTCTGCAAATATTAGTACCATTTAGCTCAGCATAGTCAAGGGTATAATCATAAGCAAATGCTACTTACTTACTTACTTACTTACTTATCTTCACGCACAATCCCTGACTGGGTAGCCAGAGAGAACAGATCGCAAAGTGTCACGATCCTTACATACCTCTTTCGCTTCTTTCAGATTCATTATCTTCTTCATACATGCACGTCTAGGTATCCGAGTACTCTTGACCATACCCTCTTCGAGCAATTTGCTCACATGGTCTTCGAAAGTTAGTCTCGGGCTACCTCGACGCCTTTTAATATTAACTTTCGCGCTATATATTTTCTTCACCATTCGGTCTTCACTCATTCGCTCAACGTGCCCAAACCACCGAAGCACGCCCTTATCAATTTTTGTGATAAGGTCATCTTTCAAACCTGCCATATTGCGAATCTCTTCGTTTCGCTTTCGGTCGGCCATGGTAACGCCGCACATTTTACGAAGACATCTCCACTGCATTCAACTTGCTTTTATGCTTCTTCTGGCATACCCAGGTTTCGCTGCCATATAACAAAGTCGGTACCAACACTGCGTTATGTATTGCAAGGCGTGCACTCTTCACTACGCCTTGCCTTTTGACTAACGCAGTCAGGGCACCATTGACTTGACAAATGCTGAATTCAATAAATTATATTGCCTGCGAGTTCTGTTCCTAGCTGTTCGTGCATTTTGCTGTGCTAATCGATGGGAACTTTCAGCACTTGATTCCCGTTCCCGGTTTGCCGAAGTGCGGGAATTCTGTGTAGCTAAACGTTGAGAAAGTTCAGCGCTTGATTCCCGTTGCCGGTTTGCGAAAGTGCGGGAATTCTGTGTAGCTAAACGTTGAGAACGTTCAGCGCTTGATTCCCGCTCGCGATTTGCCGAAGTTCGGGAATTTTTTGAGACTAACCGCTGCGAACGTTCAACACTCGATTCCCTAAAACGGTTTTGTTCACTGATCGCTCGTTGAGTAGCCAACCTATGCAGATTTTCTTCGGGTGTTTCATTGCTGCGTAGAAGTCGCAATCGCTTTGCAGTATCAGTCTGCCTAGAAAGCTGAGTTCTTTTTCTAGGCATTATAGTAAAGAGGTAAAAGAAAAACCGTATAAAATTAAAACTTAATTAAAATAAACTGAAACGTAGTCAGGTAAAAGAAATGTAAGGTGAGTAATTATTAAAAGTCGTATGGAATATATGTCAAAGGAATTATCGTGACTTCAAAAAACGCAACGCTGCATTCACCGTTCCGTAGGGAGCCAACCACGCGTCTGAGCCGCGCGGCATGGTGCGTCTCGTCCACAGAATACTTTACTCCTAGCGGAGAGTCTCGTCTTGCTTGCATTAAGCACGCGTGGATTTCCTTAGCAGAGTTATTTTAGAAATGTATTTATTATACTCTTCAAAGATCTTATACTTACATTCAATATATTTCGAAAAAGATTATTACAGGATTTTATGTTGATAAAAAACTCTATGGTCCATAACTCATTAATAGGTACCAACTCTTAACATCTTACACACGTGATAACTTTTAAACTAAATATCCGATTGAGATAAAACAAAAAGTATTTTACTTCTACATAAATACTTTTGATAACATAATGCTTAATTTCGATAAAGATTAATATTACGATACATATTTAACGTAGTTTTTTTTCTTCAGACGATTTAATAATTAATTTGAACACAAAATCGGTTATTGTGATTAAACCATGATAGCTAGATATATGTTCTCGCTGACTTTTTTGTTGGTCTTAATGGGATCTACAAACCCGTAGTACATCATTTTGTTTTATTGTCAATAGTTTTTGCAGCGCACGCAAAAATAGGTTTTCGATTTTACACCTTGTGTTACAAAATAGCAATTTTATTACGGATCTCCCTAATTTTGAAAAAAAAAAAAACATAGCCTATAGCCTTCCTCGATAAATGGACTACCCAACACTGAAAGAATCATTCAAATCAGACCAGTAGTTCCAGAGATTAGCGCGTTTAAACAAACAAACAAACAAACACTGCAGCTTTATAATATTAGTATAGATAGTTGTAGCACGAATTGGTCGGCTCGCCCGGGGAAGGACCACGCTGTCACAGAATACCAGTGTAAAATAGCAACTTAATGCTGCTGTGTTTCGTATGGTGAGTGTAGAGAACCTAAGACCCATTTTACTGGAAAAGGGGCGTTCTATCTTTGTCCTCACGTGCTAACAACGCATATCTGCATTTTAATTCGCAAACGAAGATAGGTGTAGACGTCTATGGGCCACAGCAACCACTTACCATCAGGTGGGCTGTGTGCTCGTTTGTCACCCTTATTCTATAAAAAAAACCTTTTTTCTGATTTGATTTGATTAATTTGAGGGCGGGTTTAAATTCTTCTCATTTTATATTGCAATAAATTGAACATCACATTAAACATTAAGGAATAGTTTAAGAAACCAAAAGATTATTAGTTTACCGTAATACATCACGCCGAAACTTTTTCATAATTTATTTATAAGAGTAATTCACTGATGCCACTTAAGTTAAAGCGGTCGAGTGAATTTTGATCGTAGTAAATAATTTAGTACCTAAAGTTGCCAACGTTTGTAGGGCCCTTATAAAATGAAATGAGGGTTTTAAAGTATATTTACTATTAGATCATAATTTTGTTAATGTTTTCCAAATCTGTTCATCTGTAGAAATAGTTTTTTACTTATTATAAGCCAGTGCATGACTCCCACCTGGTGTTAATTGGTAATGAAGCCCTAGGTTTTAAATCGCACTGTCTTAGCGAACCAAAACCTATCCACTCTAGGAGACTCCCAGATTGTATTCAGATGGTTAGACAGACGCCGGCAAATTAATTCACTCCTTTGCTGTACGCATTACTATAGTTTGGTTAAAATTCTCGTATGGAAATTGCTAGAAATCTATAGATATAAATAAAATTGAAGTATCTGTCTGTTGTGTTGAAAAATCCGGTATTTTATTGAGCTGATGGGGTTATATACATGTTTTAAGACTCGTATTTATGTCTTTTCTGACTGTTAGAAAACAGAACTATCTAGGTTATATAAACGACGTTAGTAAAAGTAAAAGTGTAAACGAGATGAAACGAGAGTTGACATCTCTCGCTGAGGCCAGCACTGCGGTTTTGAACACACCGAGTCCGAGTAGCAATAACACCAATAGCATAGGTGCAAAAAGGACGGCGAATGCGCCGGGTACTTCCGATATGAAAAGGAGCGGTCGTCGGATAATATCGGCAGGATGTGGTAGTGCAGGAGGAAACGAGACGGCGCAGAGTGTTAATACCGCCACACGCGGAATCTCCTTTGCGTGCTACGGTCGGTGGCCGGTTAGCTGTACGGACTGACAATGTGTGCGTGTCGGAGACAAGTGGAGGCCCTACTAAAGGAAATCGACCGAGACCGACGCGTGACTTTGGAAGCGGCATTATTGATGTCCGTGTTAATAGTGGTGAAAAACATGAGCAAATGCTAGGGGACTCAGAATGGCAAGTTGTAAGAAATAAATCTGCTAAACGATATAAGTTAATAGGGCAGAAAGGATGTGCTCCTACTGCCCCGAATGGTAAATTTAAAGCTGCAGATATAAAGATACCAATTTTAATATCGAATGTTAGTAAAGATACAAGTGAGGAGGATATCAATAACTATATAAGGTAAAAAACTAATGAATCTGTATAATTAAAAAAGATAAATATGAGAAAAACAAAATTATATAACTCTTATAAACTGTATGTCTCGAAATTTAAAATAGATACATTTTTAAATGATAATTTGTGGCCAAATGGAATAATTTTGAGACGTTTTGTTCGTTTTATGTACAAAACGAAAGTAAATAATGTAATTATTTCATAGTTAAATAATTAAAGTTAGAATATTATATCTACATGAATTTAATGCTAAATCCAACTTTGAACTTTGTTAGTTTTTATTGTTATTTTGTTTCTAGATCTTTAAATGACCTACAGAGTATATCTAAAAAATCAGATGTGGTTGCGCTGCAGGAGACTTGTCTGCTCCTCCACGATATACCGGTACTGGGAACTATTTCAAATGATTTTGAATATACAGGGAAGTCGGCGGTGGACACGTCTACCGGCCCTCTGATCGGAAGACCATATGGGGGGGTAGCGATACTTTGGAGAAAGGGAATTTTCGACAGCGTGTCTATAATAAAGTGCACGAATGATCGCATTGTAGCTATTAAAGCCAGTATTGGGCGGCGAGCGATTCTGGTTTTTTCCGTATACATGCCAACTAACTCACTAACCAATCTACCCATATTTACTGATGTGCTGGGCGAAATAAACGCTATAATTGATAATGAAAATGTTGAGAGTGTATTTATACTGGGAGATTTTAACGCGCATCCCCACGAACTGTTCTATAATGAACTCATAGCCTTCTGCTCGGAGCAGAGCTGGGTCTGCGCCGATGTTGAAAAACTAGGTCAGCAAAGTAACACTTATACATACTGTGACGCCTCATAATTATTATTAATAAATAATAATTAAATTCATTATACAGACATTTAAAAATGTCATAGAAATTATAATTTAAACAATAAAATACAAATAATAAGCATAAAGTTCAAAAATATCCATTTGGAATATTGAATAATATAATATTAGTAAACGCATAAAATGTCTCTAAAAATCTCTAAATTTATTAAAAACCTGCTTAAAATGTTCAAAATATATCAAATCATATAAATACAAGGCGATTATATTGCAATAACAAAGATAAATAACATTTGTAATATAATAGAAAAAATGGATTAAAATTTTCTAAGTTGATGAAGGTGTTCGTGTAATAATTGGAAAATTTCTGAGTTAATGAACGTGTTCTTGTAATGTTCCCTTATATTGGGGCGTTGTCGGAGACACATACCCAAGGTTGTACATATATATGGGGTGGTCGGCTGACCGACTGCTAGTACTAAGGTTGCACAATGACTAGTCCTATATTAGGGACTTAACATAGTAAGGTCTGACGAACCAAAGCATTAATATAGAAGGTCTCTATGATGCATAAGCATTATGATAGCAGAGTTATGACTTGAAGTCCCATATGAATAAGACATACAGTAGTATGGTCTATGAAATAAAGCAAATATGTGGAAGGTCTCAAATATGTAAAAGCATTATATTGAAAGAAATGGGACTTAAAAAGGATTATTATAGTGGCGTGTAGGTTGCTTCGCAGCCTCTGAGACCGAGGTAAACTTGGACTCACTAACCGATGTGTCCTAGACATATCATCTTAGTGCCGGTGGTAAGCGGGTTTGTTGTAGCAATACGACTTGCCCGTGGACATCGCACACCCCTACCGGTTGTGGGCGGCGTCTTAGCGCATAGCGTTATGATACGTCGGCTATCTTTCGGATTAGGGTGAGTGTGTTTGGTAGTACTTTTAAGTGCAGCAAGCATACTCAACTTCATGTCTTAGTGCAATAGCGCTATGATACGTGGAGTTTTGACTACTGACGTCTTAGTACCGTACTACTATGATACGTTGGTTGTATTTTTAGTTAACAACATTATCAAATTTTGTTACCAAAGTCGATAGGGATCATGTGGGTGTGTTGTGAGGGGGCGCCATCCGTATGATAGTTGCATTGATGCTTACTGCTACTTGCAGTATTGTGTCTTGTGATGGATCTGCGGGTGTGCTGCACCTGATTCGATGCATCTTGTGGTTCTGGTCGATGGAGGTATGCGGGTGGTGATGTCTGCTGGGACTGTATGGGGGACCTTGGGATGGTGTAAGCCCGACGATAGTCGTATTGATGCTTGTTGCATTCTGTAGCATTGCGTCTCTACGATGGTTGTTTGGCGGGTCGCTATTCTCAATGGCGCTCTCTGCGTCTTGGTTTGACTCACAACCTAAGTAGCTTTGCCCAAGTCGGGTCCCTTCATTGCGGGGCTGCAGACTGTCTGCCCTCCATGATGTTTTATATAACAACTTAATAATATATCTCTATAAAGTTCCCACCTTTGAGATATTGAAGGCAACTTGTTGGTGGGTGAGACAAACATGATCGAAAAATGCATATACTCAACGTCAGTGACACAAACCCTTTCTGATGGCGAATTATTAATATTATCTTATAACTGCCTATTGGCTATATCTGCCATTGTATTGGTTGGTGGAGCGTACGTGTTAACCTCATGCGGGTGGTAGCTGGAGGGAGAATCTGAGGAGGCTCTCAAGGCTGCGGCCGAAAGCCGCGCAACGTGGGACCCCATTCCCTTGAGGTGAGCGGTAGACTCATGACACGCTCTGCGGCCAATTGGCCGTGCTGACCATGCAATCGGTGGTGATGCCTTACACTTACATCACGTCTGCAGAAACGGCGGTCTGGCAGGTGGTGGCGCTCACGGAGGGCTTTTTATGGTCAGTGTGCCTATTGTTGCCTAACCCGTGTGACGTACATTCACTGTGGCTGGATTTGATCGTATTCTGTATGGCGTTTACACGCATTGACATGCGCGACTTCGGTCGATGTTTGTGCTTACGCACTATCAAGGGGCCAAGTCCTCTTTTACTGGTTCGCCAGTTATTTTGCTGTGGACTACGGTCCAGTTCCCAACTTTGCGTACCCTTCGGGGGGAGCGCATTAAAATGGTTGGCGCTCACCGTGCGCGGCGTGTGTGGAGCCGTGTACCTCCTCCACATTTTTTTTTAAATGTGGGAGAGCGAAGCCCTTGTAACTGGTATTTGATATAAATATTGTGAGCCTTTTCCAAGCGGGAAGGGATTAATTAATAAGGAATTGACTGTTGTGAACCAGATACAAGTGGAATTGGGACAATTTATTGTCTTTGTCTTCGTGAACGGGGTTCTTTAGCTTATAAGACTGTACCAACAGCTTTCGATTGCTCTCGTGAATATTCATTCTTCCAAGATACACCTAAAAGAACTAAGTTACTATACAAACACAACGTAAAAAAGGGTCCTAACTAAGACGATCACGCCATAAATTTATTAAACGGCCTATATTTAAACCTTTAGAAAGATCAAGTTATACTGGTCACGTAAATTAGATATATTTATATATCTTACAGATATAGATTCTAAAGAAATACAAGTATAAGTGGATATATAGGAGAAAAGAAAAAAGATGGGGGGGGGGGGTTCGTTACAATACGTTAGCGCTGCGTATGGATGCCGTAGGTGGTTAGATCATTGTTGTGTGACAGACCTTGCGTGGCAGACTGTAGTGGAAGTGGAAGTAATGGAAGATGTGTTTGTGTCGGATCACTTACCTCTAATTGTAAAGTGCGATTTAAGCTGTGTAAGACCCAAGTTGGCATCACCTAGCCTGCAACGAAGCACGGTAATATGGGGAGAGCGAGGCGAGGCACAGATAAATAAGTACCATGACCTATGTAATAATAATATGCGCGAAATTGATTTTCCTTCTGAGTTTACGGAGTGCAGCCGCGGAATGTGTAGCTTGAGTGAGCACAAAAAAGTACTAGATCGCTTGTATCAGAATATTGTACAGGCCCTAAGCGACGCGGCAAGTAAGTCTAGTAAGACTCGTGGAGGAAGGAAGAGCAATAACAGGCATTTATGTGGGTGGAACAAGCATGTTTATGATGTTCACAATCAGGCCAGGCTTAACTATCAAGTTTGGTTGCTGAATAATCGGCCTAAGTCTGGTAGAATCTATGAGTACGAATCGCGTAAAATATTCAAAAGTCGACTAAAATGGTGCCAACAAAATCAAGACCAACTTAAAATGGACGTTTTGGCCAAACATAGGTCTGCTAAAAATTTTGATCGTTTCTGGAAGGCAACAAAAAAAGCTTGATGTTAAGTCTGGTTTGCCAACAAGTGTGGAGGGGGAGAATGAGCCTGCTCATATTGCAGAAATGTTTAGGGCTCATTTTAAAGTCAACTCACCACTGGGCCCCTCGGTTCCTACTTTTAGCAAGCCTTTGTGTCAGGGAGAAAATAAACTAGTACATGTTACAGCTGAACAAGTGCGAAATGTACTTAAAAATATGACTGGTGGCAAGTCTCCTGGACATGATGGCATTAGCGTTGAACATCTTAAGCATGCTGGTGTTCACCTTCCGAGGGTTTTGGCGCTGTTTTTCACAATGTGTATCAGACATTCCTATTTACCGCAAGAAATGTTAAAACAATTGTGGTGCCCATTGTGAAGAATAGAACTGGTGACGTCTCGGACATGAAAAATTATCATCCAATTTCATTGGCAACGACGATTGCTAAGGTGCTGGACGGTGTGCTTAATTCTTACCTTGAAAAAATAGCTAAGCTACATGACGCACAATTTGGGTTTCGGTCTGGGCTATCTACTGAGAGTGCAATTGTAAGTTTAAAGCACACTGTCCAATACTATACTAATCGCGGGACACAGGTGTATGGCTGTTTCCTAGACCTGTCAACGGCATTTGACTTAGTGTCTTATAACAAATTGTGGGCAAAGCTGGAGGACAGAGGACTACCGGTTGAATTGCTAAATATATTTAAGTTCTGGTATGCCAACCAGACAAATTGTGTAAAATGGGCCGACTCTCTCTCGGAAGAATATGTGTTGGAGAGTGGGGTAAGACAGGGAGGCTTGACGTCTCCCACACTCTTCAACATATATATTAATGATCTCTTTGTCAGGTTGAGTAGTATGCGTGTCGGATGCCGTATTGACGGAGAAGCACCAACAATATAAATTACGCTGATGACAGTGTACTGCTCTGTCCAACTGCGGGTGGTCTTAACGAGATGCTAAGGGTTTGTGAGAAATATGCTGCTGAGCACGGGCTCATATACAATGTAAAAAAGACAGAATGCATGGTGTTTAAGGCCGCTGGTAAATGTCCCGATAAAATCAATAACTAAAAATTTAAATATCTGGGACATATAATTACTGACGACCTTAAAGACGACGCTGATATAGAAAGGGAACGTAGGGCTCTCTCAGTTAGAGGCAATATATTGGCTCGCAGATTCTATCGTTGTAGCGAAGACGTAAAGGTGACCCTTTTTAAAGCGTATTGCCAAAACATGTACACGGGAAATCTGTGGACTAGCTATACCAAGAAGTCGCTGGACACCCTACTAGTCCAATATAATAATGTGTTCAGGATGTTGTTGAGATTGCCTCGTTTCTGTAGTGCATCAGCGATGTTTGCAGAATACCAAGTTGATGACTTTTCAGCCATTATTCGCAAGAAAACCACATCGCTGATATTTAGAGCGCGAGGCAGTCCCAATAGCATTCTGCAAACCCTGGCAGATAGGTATACTTCTCCGCTTTGGGCCTGCTTTGTGAGGAGGGTTATTTTAAAACACAGTTATTTAGATTAAATCCAAATTGACCTCATCTGATTTTATTTTGATATTTTATTTTATTTTGATTGTATTTAATCTAATTTAATTCAGACATTATTTGATTTCGATTGATTTTTATTTGATTATTATTTTTATTTTTATTTTTGTTTTTATTGTAATCTAATTT